AACTGCGTCGTTTCAGCTTTTAATTCCATTAATCCGATTTCCTTGGATTTTTATTTTTTAAAATTTTATTTGATTACAATAGTAATAAAAATTTTAAAATTATCATTTAATTAATTTATTATTAAACGCAAATTACTAATAATTAATGTTAGTATTATAACAGAAATTATAATAATTAAACTTTTTGAAAATCAAATTAATAATTAATTTAAGGATTATAATAGAAATTAAATGAAATTGGTATAAACTACAAATTTCATAATTAACAAACTATTATTGCATCACAAGATTATATAATTATCGTTATCATGAGTACTTTTATTAAATAAAATTATTTTTTTTTTAACTTACATTACAAAATTAGCACAATAAAATATTTAAATTATTTATTTATTAATAAGTAGAAAATGATTTAATTAGTGAAATTGTTAAGCAATCAAGACGTGGATTTCCTCCACTTGGGAGGAGTTCTGCCACGAGCTAGCTTGGATTTCCCATCCATGGCCATGGGAGTTTCTCGACCAAATGCAACCTCTTCACCTTTAATTACCTCTTCATTAATCTTCTCAAGCCTAGAGGACGTCGTCTTCAACCCCAGATTTTTCCACTTGAAAAAACTTTTCTTCTTCTCCGCCACTCGTTCCAGTTGCATTTGCAGCAAGCTCAACTGGTTTTGCAGCCTCATCACGTCTTCTCTTAGCTTCTTCACCTCCACTTGTGTCGCGTTTATTTCTCGCTTCGACATACATCGACCTGGAGGTTCCAGCATTGGGTTTGGGCTTCTGGTTCCACTGAATGAACCGCTCCAGTCTATGTGACGGTTCGCCCGGTTTTGCTCAGAAAACAAGACTTGGATCACGGCTCGGACTGGTAGACGTTCGTTTTGTGCGGCGTGGAGTGATGCTTCTGGGGATAGTTTTCTGCTGTCAATCAGTCTGCTCAGATTTTTTCTTTCATGCTTCGACACACCTGGGTGTGCCTGCATCAACCACAATTCATTTTTTCCTATTATCATCACATATATGTATGTACGTATATATGTGTGTATATATACCAAACTTCTTCATATTTTACGTTGCCATAAACCTCTGATTTTCGCTTTTGTTAATCCTCTGTATTCAAGAAGGCTTAACAGAACCGACAGCAGAACAAGACAGTTCAGAAAGAGAAGTGACTACTGCTTGTGTGTGTGTGTGTGTGTGTGTGTGTGTAGTTTATATAAGCAGCAAGTACAAACAGATTTCTCACTATTTCACAACTCTGACTGACGGAAAATCCATTGTCACCCAGTAAAGATAAAGGCAATTCACGTTAAATCGTTTTCTCTCCCTATCCCAACTTCAACATGTGAAGAATCTTGTTTTGCTGACAACACATGACCACCTACCCATGATAATCCTATTCCTCAAATAGTTTCACAATTTCAGTTTATGGATGGAGTCTTTTAGATAAAACCTAATTCCATTTGGGTTTTTCCTTTTTAGAAAACAAACAAAGAGCAGGTTAGGTCTTTTCCAAGTGTGAATGTCCAATTAAGAGAAAATAGTTTTCGTCAAATGTCCTCTTTCCAATTGTTTCTGTGAATAATTTATTTTTGGACGTATTGAGTTTTATGTTTTCCAATAAAATTAAAACTCGTGACCTTCAAAACGGCGCAACAATGTTCATCACTTAACCACTATATTGGTAGTTACATGCATATGAGTAAGTATGACATGAGTCTTAATGGAAATTAAAGAAGAAGAAAATGGAAAGTAAACCTACTTTGAGATAAGTATCAATGGCACGATAAAGAGCATCATCGGTGGCACGAGCATAGCTAGGAAGAGCTCCAGCAAGCTCTATAAACTCAGACAAACTCATATTAAAATCCAGAGCAGCTTCTGCTAAGTAAGAATCCACAAGCTTGGCCACCTTAACCAGAGCAGCACCAGTTTTATTAATCCCCTCATCTAACCCCACAAACCTTTTCACCAGCCTTGCAACAAGCTCCACATCAAGCAATGTACTGCTAGTGTGGCTAAACGACGGTATCATCAGCTCCTTCAAAGAAGCCTGGTCCAGCTGCCATGAAATCCTCTTCTCCAACTCCGCCCTGTAACTCGGCTCCACACCCACCATGTTTGCAGTTCTCAGGAGCCGCAGCAGGAAGTTGCAGGGAATGGAATCCCTCTCCGGTGGGAGAATTCCCGTCAGAGTCTCGACAAAGAATCTTTTTTTCATCCAAGACGCTGTAACGCTCTCCGGGGATTCTTGAACGGAGTCGGAGTCATCGGAGAGGTCGGGTAGCCATTTGGAGGCGTAGTGGGCGATGATTGAGCCAATGAGATCAGGACGGACCCCTTTGGCTTTGATGCCAGCCACGGTTTTGACGAAGTAATCCATGTCTAAGATGCATGCATCGTCGAACCAGCAATCTCCGGCCAATTGGGGTGGTTTTCCGGCCACGGATTCGGGCAAAGTGAGGTTCTTCATGGTCCTGGTCCCTCCTTGAATACTGTGATGAATGTGAGGAGGAGTTTACTTATATTGGGATTAAAAGAAAAGGCACGAATCGGTAGAGAAAGTAGTAGACAAAAAGAGAGGAGTAAACTTTGAGGGTGACTAGAATGTGAAATGACTAAATTGCCCATGTAAATATTCCTTTTGTTTATAGAGAAGATAAGATTTATAGAGGATGATTTTTGTTACCGGTGATTGTGGAGAGGAGACAAATCGCTTTAAATGCTAAATATTCTTTCCGAGGACACACTGTGACTTGCTTTCTGCTAAGTAGAACAAAAACTATTTATAGCACACTGTCAACTGTGCTATAGCCGAAAGGGACTCGCCATTCGGTCACTTAACGTGCGCTCTCGAATGAATTCGATACTCATTACATCCTGTTTGTATAAATTTTAGTAATGGTTAATTAATATATAATAATAATAATAATATAAAATGTAAATGATAAAAAAAATTTATGTTTGGATAATTGTATATTAATGTATGTTAATAACATATTTTTGTTTGGATGATAGGATCGTATGATTGTATTTTCAGTCAAATTACTAATTTATTTTTATCTATTTATGTAATAGTAAGTGATATATAAGAAGTATATGATAAAAAAAAAATTAAATTGTTTACTAATATAATTACATTTATATTTAAATAAATAATTATTACAAATTAAATTTTTATATTTAATAAAATAAATAATAAATTATGAAAATAAAAATAAAATTAAATATATTATATAAGGGTATAAAAAGAAAAAAAAAATAATTTATGTTCACATACCACTGATTCGACGGTTTTAAAATTCATTCGAAATTTACCAGTAAGATACCGTTTGTTATCATTAGAAGTTGAAACAAATATGATTCGTAAAATACCGTATATTTAAAATCTTATCATTTACTACGATCCAAACAGAACGTTAAAATCTATTTATTTTAAAATTTTATCTTTAAATAATAAATATAGACGTATATAATTTAATTCATTAAGATATTAATAATTAAGTTTGAGGGTACCCAACTATAACCATTATTTAGTCTTATTGTCGCTGGGCTATTGTTGTTATACTTTGGCCATATGCTATTGTCACCGTCTGTAAGAAGTGTAAACCAAGAGTTTGATATGGAAGGTGTACCATTTGGCAGAACTCTTTTTTCCTTTTCTGCCAGACATGCCGTAGTAGATTACCAATTACATTAAATTCTCATCAAAAACGTTTGGAAGGACTCATCAAAAACGTTTTTACCATTTGGTTTTGGAATTCGTATGGTCTATTTTCCATTATGTATCGTGAAAAAAGGAGAAACAATTCAGTATTGGATGCTTTTTCTCCTTTTTCAATCTCTAGATGGAGAGACTAAAAGACACCCAGTAGAAAGAGTTCTGAAGTTTCAACAAGGGCTCAACAAAGGTTTTCACTCATTTCCAGATATAGCTTTTGAGTAGAAATATGAGGAGAAACCTTAGTATCAGATCAGATATCCATAGATCCAGCTCCAGTTGATGCCTTTACTTTCTTGCTCTTTCTTTTCTTGCTCCCATTTTTGTTTGCCTTTTTCTTCGGGATCTCATCTGGAACAGGCTGTGTGCTTGTCAAATGTTGATGGATGGCAGCCAGAGGATCGACTTGAAAAACAGGATTAGTGAGGACACTGTGCAACTGCTTTCCCTCCGTCAATCTGATGGAAATGCAGCCTATTAATTTATGATGAAAATTCAAATAATTTTATGCAATAGTAAACTCGAATCTCGAGAAGATCGTGAATCACAAAATTTACGCACATAAGTTTTTGTCTGGATTTGCAATTCAACTTCAACTTATCTGCAAGAGACGGCTTGTCATTAACTTTCAACTCGGGAAGGAATTCTGATAGAGAAGATAGATCATATGCTTTCAATATCTTCTGTCGCCTTTGAGTTTTATTTTTCTGGCACACAAATGAAGAATCTATTTAGAGAGTAGCCATATAATGGAAAACATTAGGTAAGGTACAAACAATGATTGAAAAGACATGCCACCATAACAGATTAGTCTAAAGAGCCAGAACCATATGGAAAGTTAATTTCCAATTAAAAATATTTATATTTTCAATTACAAATACCAGTTAACCAGAAAAACTAATTAGGGAGATAAACTAGACAGCGTTACCATATAGAAATGAAAAATAACAAGGGAAAAATTCCCAAAAAAGCTACCTTTGTAATTTCCCGTTTGGCAGATAAGGAAGCAACAGTATCTCTGACCTCTGCATATGAAAAGGGCAACAAAGTTTAAGAGAATTTAATAATAGATAGTTTCCCATTCTTAATGAGGCTTTCATCCCATCTGACTTTAATTCACTGTCTTCAGACACACAATGAGTTAGATCTCTCCTCAGCCCCACAGATGTAAACAATATATCTTTCATAATGAACTAAATTCAAGCTAAACAGATAAATATATTAACAAAAAGTATGAGGTGGGAGTCTGTAAAAAGAAAATACCACATGTATGTGACAAATGAGGAAAGTAGCTAATACAACATTTATGAGTACACAAAGCGTGCTTCATTACTTCGAATGAGCTACTGCCTCCTAAAACAAGCCCCATTAAATGTAAAATGATACACAAAAACATAGCTCCCCAGACCATGATATCATGATCAAAATTATGCATAGCCAATTCCTTTCCATGCACAAAATTAATAAAAAATAAACTTCAAAAGGAAAATTTTATGTTTACTCAAATTACATAAACCTTATTAAGTTACTTGAAAGAAATTTTAGGATGCTGATTATCTTTCAGCTTCCGTAAACCACAATACAACATGTGTATGCACATGAATCATCATAAGTGCTTCATTACGTTTTTGTCTGTCCTGGTTGTTCTTTTCCCTTCTTTCCCTTTGAGAATAAAAAATAACTTCATAAAATAGGAGAAAAATGATAGAGAGAAGGGACAAGATACCCTCTTAGAAAAGCCAAAAAGAATTAAAAAAGAAAGAAAGTCTACCAATACAAATGGCATTCCAATCCCTTTGCAATATACACAAACCAAAAAAAACAAAAAACAAAAATATTGTGAAAACAAAAATGTCTTATACCCCGCATATTTTTGTTTTTCCTGGGCCCTACATATGTTCATAACAAATATATTCCACAAAAAGAATAGAAAGCATTTTGAAGATCCACATTTTTATCCATGTTCTAAACATAAAACACAATTCATTAGCAATTCCACAAAAGAACATTTGCCTTAACCCAAAGTCAGAGTTAACAAAAACAACCAACTGCTCTGTCATTGAAGAAAAACCTTTGTTCACCTAAATCAGCACTTTGTAATTATATCAGCTTATTTGGGTTATTCTGGAGCAAGTAATGTTTGAAAAAAATTAATGCCCTAAAAATGTGAAATTAGTATGCAAATTGACATTCTAACAATACCAGCTTATTTGGGTTATTTTGGAGCAAGTAATCTCTTTAAGAAATTACTCCCCTAACAATGTGAAATTAATATGCAAATCAACATGCTAAATATAAAACTTTGCTTCATTTACCAGGAAGGAAAACATAACATAAGCAGCAGAAATTATATCAGAAGTTAACAAAACAAAGACCACAACAAAACTGAGCAGAAGAAACAAAACATGCCACAATATCAGCAAACAAAATCCAAAACCCTAGTACACAGCTTAGCAGCCAATGGCATTCGGCATTACAAATTGAGTTTTAAAATTTAGCAACAATTAACTAAAGTGACAATGTTGCGTACTTCAATTACAAAGGATGAAGTTTCCAAGATAACTAAAATACAATACATCTGATAAAATAAATAGAAACATTAACCACTCAAGAAAAGCCTTTTTAAAGGATAAATAATCAAACTTACTGGCATAAAACTCGAGTTTCTTTTCGAATTTGGCATCAGCTTTAGAAGTAGAACCCTGACTGCATTGCAAAAATAAAGAAATAGGGAAAGAAAATTAGTAATTCATAGATTTGCTCCTCAACCCCCAACCACATACAAAAAATTAAAGCGTGAAAAGTTAATGAAGTTTACCTTTTGCTTGATTTACCCATCTTTGGAAGATTGAATCAGAAGATCAACGTGTACCTATTTCAGATAAAGTGTCAGGGTTTTAGAAAATTAATGAGCGAAAGGGCTCAAACATTTTACTTTTTGTGTGTGGGATGGAGAGAGAGAGAGAGAGAGAGAGAGAGAGAGAAAGAGAGCTAAGTACAAAGGAAGAATGTTGAATGTGTAGTTTCCCAATCTTGTTCAACCATTTAAGTATTTAATATATTGTATTTAGATATTATATATAATATTAATTTACATAAAACAAATATATGTAACATTTAACATATAAAAAATTGCAATTTTTTAAAATTACAAATTGAAACGAAAGATATTCATTGAGAACAGTTCAGTTCTGTTGTTTAAGTTGGTTATCAGTTCTTGAGGCACACTTAGGATTCCACATTTTTTAAAGCACTTTAGTATCTTTAAGGTACTTGGTAGCAAAATTTTTATTTAAAAGTAATTTATACATTTAAACAAAGTGTTGATCGTCAAAAATAAGATTTTTTATTAAAAAAGTTTATAAAAAGATATATGTACTTATTACAAATATTTGATTGTACGTATTATTAATTTTAGTAGAATATCAAAGTGGTGATTAAGTACATTAGTTAGATAAGAAACTAGGAACTTAAAAAGAACTTTGTTTTTTTTTTATTAAAAATAAGATTTTTTATTAAAAAAGTTTATAAAAAGATATATGTACTTATTACAAATATTTTATTGTATATATTATTAATTTTAGTAGAATATCAAAGTGGTGATAAAATTGTTTATTTTTAACTATCACTTCTAAGAACCCAATAAGCACTCTATTGCTTTTATACTATAAAATGCAAATACTAAGCAAAATGTTTTAAAAACTACAAATACCAAATAAGCAATCTTAATAACATTCGGATTTTTTTCGTTTACTAGCTTCTGCTTAAGGAGCAATAATAGCCTATCATTGCAGGTATATTCAACCCTATGCTTCCTCCGCTCAATTGAATCTATTATCAGCACGTGCATGGAACTTTAAAAAAATGAAGGGCATGAATAATATAGTATTACCAAGAGAAAGCCCAATACAAAGTCCAAAGAAAACAATCCTTAGGTCATGTTTTAGGTCCTTTTTCCCTCTGAATTCAACTCAGGATCCCCTAAAAGATGCACAAGAACTAACTAGAGAGACAAATCAAAAGTGGCCAATGACTGGGAAAAGTTGATTGTGGAAGGATCATTGCACCATCCTTCTAATTACTAAAATACCTAACTAACGCCTCCTAGACCTTTCATCAAACAACTGGTTGGCATTCATCATTAAACATGGTATACCAGCTATACTGCCTTCAAAACAAACAAAATCTCCATGAGTAGTGAAAAGCATGCAAATTCTAGAGTGAACAATCTCTAAATCAGCCAAATATGATTATTAAACAAATGGACATCACAGTCCTTGAAAATACCCCCCACGCATGAGTGTTAACACCAAACATAATCCTCTCTTCGAACAAACTCCCATTAAAAAAGATACTTCAAATGAACTGACTAAAGGCTAATGCCAATTATCCATGCTTAAAATTCACGAACAATTATATTATATAACTAAAACAGACATTCAAAGATCTTACCAATGATGATAGCCCCGGAGGGTTTTTCTTCTTTCCTCTCTCACCTCTGTCTCTTAATTTCTCGATTCTGCTTCCTATTGTCTTTTTTTAATTGCTCTGTCTTTTCTTTATTTTCTCCCCTCTCCTTTTTCAGCTCTTTTCTTCTTTAGATGTTTCCTTCTTCTCCAGATTTTCCTTTTTTTCAAAATCAGAATCCCTTCTCTTTTCGGCTTCTCTCTAGGTTTGCGTTTGAAGGGGCCGTTTTGCAGGAAGGACCTGCTGTGAAGACCAAGTGAAACCGCTGTTCGCGAACTGTGTTCGATGGATGTAGACCGATTTTGCTTGATGGAGGTAGACCGAATGAAACAACTAGCTAAATTGTAGAAGGCACGGACGAGGAAGATGAGGATGAAGACGAATGAGGATGACGATGAAGCAAGAGAACGGAAGCAGAAGATGATGAGGAGACGTTGCGGCTAAGGAAAGCAGGCGCGGTGGAGGAAGAAGATGAATCGCCGCGGCTGATGAAGCAGGCGCGGTGGGGGAAGAAGAAGACGTTAAGGAGGATGAAGAAGGATGCAGGGGTAAAGGATTCTTTTTGTTGGGTTGGAGAAGGCCTTAGGGCTTAAGTTTCCTTTTTCTTTTTTGGTTTTATTTTTAAAATCTTAACAAATAAATTAGAATGTAATAATAATATATATACATATTATATAATATATTTTACTTATAATATATTTTGTAATGATAATAAAAATAAATTCTCACAAATTATAATATTTTAATTCTTCTATGTGTGACACTATATTTTTAAATTGATAATTAGTCATATTATTTATATATAATATGTTTTTTCGTTTTAATTATTTTTAATAGAAAAATTACATATATAATATAATACAAATATGATATATTTACTATATAAAATTGTGAATTAAGAAGGATGCAGTCCTTCAATTTAAATGGGTTATTGAATTTTCAGGCACATGCCTTCAGGTACTAAAGTTTTTATCAAGTAATTAGCTGATGAAATTTTTTGTTTAAAAATAAGGATTTAGATATTTAATTGTAAAAAAAATAAACAATTATTTTCTATAAGTATATATTTATTACAAATATTTTATTATATTTATATATTATTAATTTTTACAAAAAATATAAGTAAAGAACAATAAGAGCCTAAAACTTTAGAATATGATAATTAACTATACATTCTGATCCTGGTCATATCAGAAAAACATATTCATTGAAACTGAACTGTTCATTGAACATTTACAAACCACAGCACACTGGTAAATTGACAATTAACCTAATGAAAAACAACAACCTACATACTGAAAAGAAGAAAAAAGAAAGATCGACGATACCAAGACATTTACGTCTGCACCTTCCTTGTTTTGAATTTTAACGTAATTGCCCTACACAAGACTCGAACTCGGATTACCTCTATCTAAGTGACCAGCATTAACTGTCTGCCATATGTTGGATAGTCGTGGATACTCTAGTTAGTTTGCAATTAAATACGTATTCGGAGGGGGATAAGAGATAAGAGGGTTGTATTGAAGTCCCTTCTTACCCAATTTGAATGGTAGGGAAACTTTATAGCTTCAAACTATGCAGTTGTACCGATTGGTGCTTGAGGTTTCTCCGAGTCCTCTTCAGTTAAGAAACCATCTTCGTCTATCAAAATCTGAATCACCATTCAGGAACTTTGTATCTAAATTGGAATCAGGAAAAGAAAAACGATAAAAGAGGGTGAATCTAGTAAAGTGCCTAGTTACCCAATTTGAATGTGGGTAGACTGGACCATAATAACTCCAATCTTTTTGCTATTTCACCAATTGGCAATTGAAGATTCTTCAAATCCTCTCTTCAGTCAAGAGAATATCTTGAAGTATCACATTTGAATCATCATCTACCTGATCTTTTTCTGCTGAACTTTCCAGCTTATTATCTCCGAGAAGGTGTCTTGGGGGTGTCTAAATAGCAAATAACTTCCATCCTCTCAAGATAGTTTGTTAGCCTCGACCTAAAGACGAGAAAAAAATGGAACTTTAACTGCTTGATTTCAAAGGAAAAAGAAAATTGAATACAAAACAAACCCATAGTTCAATATTTGTCATGCAAAGCCAAGGATACAGAAGAAACAGTAGTTGAAAACCGAAACAGTAGAGAAAGTACTCGTACGTTCTAAGGAAACAGAGTAATATAGGACAAAAAAGATAAAAAGATGCAACAACAAGCAACAAATATTAGTAGATTTCACCGTAAAAAATGAGTTTGTTCAGATGTTATAAACGCTTTTTAACAAATTGGGCAAAACCAAGCCAACAATAATCTTCTTTACACAGTGCATAAGTAACTTGCAAGTAAACTCACCAGACAAAACAACAAAATATAAATATCATCAGTGTCTGACATCAACTTCTAAAATCATGTAAATTCCTTCCAAGCCATAGACTCTAGCGACCTCCCCAACCAACTGAATACCAAGAAATTCAGGTGATCTACAGATGGAGAGCCAGCAGCTCATGAAGGAGCAACGAGTCGTGGTACACTATTGTCCCTGCAAGAGAAAATTAAAATTGAAGAAAGAACTAAGCATGTCCATGTGCAAAATTCGCAACAACGGAGAATTTTGCTCAAGTAGTCAAAAAGGAAACATTTGTGTTATTACAGAAAGGCTGAATGAGTCAATACCTCATGCATTAAACTTGTAACGAGTTAGCCAGCCAGTTAGTTTTTTGCATAATATTATGTTAGTTACTTGATTTTCTAAACCCAAGAAAGCATGAAACATACTGATAATCACAAGCCTTCATGAACCAAGCAAATGACTAAGAAAAGAAATCTTAACTCTTCATGTAGCATCTTGTTTAAGATGCTTACATGCTACCCAGTTCTATGGATTTTGCCAAAACAAGCAGCGGCCGCCAAGAATACTGATTGTTGATCTTTTTTACTTTTCACAATATTGCAAGTCTCTCTGCTAGTCAGCTACCATTGACGGCATGAAGTTATCACCAGTAATCAGCACAAGAACATTGTCCATCCTGGAAATGATGGAAACGATTGGCGTCTCTGACAATCATCACACGGTTAGTGACCTTTGAAATAAGTTTAATTGCAGAGTGGCAGTCATCACACATCCTTAGGTTCTTAAATACATGTAAAGGCGCTTCTATAGGAGCTTTCATGAGGCCATATGCTATGGCCATCTTTTCACTGTGATAGCTGAGATAGTCTTCCTTCTGCTCATCCTCCACATCATGTAACACAGCAGCAGTATCTGGTACATATCCTAACGGCTTTATCCTCGCCAATAATTCCTTGACCTTCTCATAAATCTTATTAGATTCTGGGTGTTTACCGTCATCTGAAACAAAAACATGAGTAATGTTTCTTATCTCTATCCAACTAACCCCAGGTTCTTTCTTAATGTTCCTTTCCTGCATCAATTTCCGTATCTTCGAAACACCATCCCACCTCTTTGTCCTAGCATATATATTAGACAATAGTATGTATGTCCCCACATCAGAAGGCGCCAAATTAAGGACAAAGTCTGCAACCCGCTTTCCAAACCCATAACTCCGGTGGACAAGACAAGCATTAAGTAGAACACGCCATGCAACAACATCCCATTTAACTGGTTGAGATCTCATAAAGTTCTCAGCCTCATCAAGTCGACCAGCTTTGCTCAGAAGTCCAACAATGCACGTGTAATGCTCCAGTCCAGGCTCAATAGCAAACTGTTTCATTAACTGGTTTAAATAGTAGAACCCTTCTTCCACTAGACCCAGATGGCTACAAGCAGATAGAACCCCAACAAAAGTAATATGATTAGGGCATTCTGCTGCAGTTAACATGTCTTGAAACGTTATCAGAGCTTCCTTGCCAAGCCCATGATGTGAATACCCACATATTATTGCATTCCATGTAATGGTGTCTCGATATACCATGTAAGAGAACACCCTCTTTGCTGCTTTAATGTTGCCACTTTTGCAATACATATTAATTAAGGCATTTCCAACAATTAGGTAATCCTTAAACCCATACTTCTCAGCACATGCATGTATTGCTTCACCATGTCTTAGCATGGATAGTCCTGCAGTAGAATTTAGCAAAATGGCAAAAGTAAACTCATTGGGCAAAATATCTTCAAATTCCATTTTTGTAAACAGATTCAAGGCATCCTCAAAGTACCCACGTTGGAAGTAATTAGCCATCATTGCTGTCCACAAGACTACATTTCGCACTTGCAGCTTTTCAAAAACATTCCTTGCATTTAGAATATTATGACATTTCCCATACATATTAACAATTGCGCCACTAACATATACATCAAATTCAATACCATTTCTCAACATATTGCCATGAATTTCCAATCCCAGTTTCAAATCTCTAAGACTAGCACAAAGGCCTAAAACAGTTACACAGGTGACGCTATCCCAACTCAAACCCTCATCCACCATCCTTCTCAAAACTTCAATCCCCTCACTCAAATGACCATGCTGCACGAGTCCACTCAAAAGTGAGTTATATGAAAAAACATCATAACCAGATTCTGAATTAAAAATATGCATAGCCCCTTCTGCATCAGAACATTTTGAGTACATGTTTATTAGAGCATTCCTTACATACTCATGAAACATCAATGCAGATTTCAACACATACCCATGACATTGCCTACCCTCTTTTAGTTTCCTACTATCAGAACAAGAACCAAAAACAATAGCAAAAATGTATTCATTGGGTTTCACATTGCCCAAAGAAACCATATATTTGAACAAGTTAAAAACTTCCAGATTACACCCAGAATGCGAATACCCTGCCATTAGAGAACTCCAAGAAACCACATTTCTCTTATGCATAGAATCAAACAACTGGCGGGCAACTGATATTTGATCACATTTAGCATAAAGATGGATCAAATAATTAGCTCTGACTACATCATCATTGTTGGCGACATGGTTGGTTACTACCCAATGGGCATGAATTGCCTTGCTGATTCTCAGGTTTTTATTATCAGCACAGAGTTGTAAGAGCTTGCTAACGTGTTGTCTTGTCATTGTAAACACCAACATACGATCCACAAATATCAGCCTACCACAAAAATTCTCTTGACGGTGCAACGACCTTGTGACACGAATTTCATCAGATAAAAATCTACAAATAAATAGATAAATAATTTATAAGAGAAAAACCTAAGACTCCTAAAAGGATTTGAAGCTTGTAGTGAAGGAGAAGTGGAAGAGAAGTCATGGATCATGAATAAGAAGGAAGTAGAAACTCTCTACTGTCAGCAGGAGATTTCACCTTAGCTAGTCTATCTACATTAGCAATACGCTTAAAGCTATTATCTTCCACAGCCCGATCGGAGGGCATCAAATTAATGCAAAACCTTTAATAAGGTATAAACACTGATTGAAGACATGCCACCATAACAAATTAGACTAAATCAAACAGAGAGATAATTTCAAAGAAAGAACTGTTTTTCCAATTAAATTCAGATTTGCACAGTTACATTAACAGGTGACCAGAAATATTTACGTACTTTGGGAGAGAAACTAGATAGAGTTACCATAGAGAAATGAAAAAACGAAAGAATGAGTTTAGAAAAAAATGTACACTTACAAGGAAGCAACAGTCATCTGCATATGAAAAGGGAATTACTAAAGAGAACATAA